CACAGTGCGTTATAGCAATCCTGTATGGAGTGGGACACATTTGTTACTAAAAGGTAAATGTGATCTACTTCATTAGAATGAGTTTTGTAAATGCTTATTTTAACACAAATTAAAATACAAATTCAGTTAGACATACAATTAAGATTAAATTATTCTATTTGTTTTCATATATTTGTATTTACTTTGGATGTTGATTTATTTACCAACAGCTATGTTGTATATATTTGAGAAAGTTACAGTGTACACACTCAACCCTAAAAGTGATGCCAATTCTGCCATGCACCATATCTTTAAACATATGGTTAAAACTTGGTAATTACGTTATATGCTCTGCTTTATCTTTATTAAAGCTCTAATCGATATTTAAACAATCTAATTTCACTTTGAGGAAATCTGTACTAATAAAGCAGCTCCACATTTGCTAAATATCAGCAGATTCATGTTAATACTTTTAGAAATGTCAGATAAAATGGGATACATTTAAAACAGATTTTTATTTTGTAGGAAACACTCAGAGGACTTCAAACTATTCTGTTGTTCCAGCTCCTCCAGGAAACTTGATGACCCTTCAGTGTTCAGTCCTCTCTAAATCTGAGAATAAAATATGTCAAGGAGACATCAGTGTGTTCTGGTTCAGAGCTGGTTCAGATAAATCTCGTCCTAGCATCATCTACACTGATGGAAGAAGACAAGATGAATGTGAGAAGTTGCCGGACACTCAGAAGAGTTGTCTCCATCACTTCTCAAAGAACTTCAGCTCCTCTGATGCCGGGACTTACTACTGTGCTGTGGCCACATGTGGAGAGATATTATTTGGAGATGTAACTAAACTGAAAATTGGTATGTATACCGATGTATTTTGTTTAATATGGACGTTAATGTCTACGAACCAATGAACCACATCATTAATGTGTTTAATGTCTTTGCTTTCTAGAGCAAAATGCAAGCTCTGAAGTTATAGCGCTGGCGATAGCAATACTCTGCTTGGTCGTTTCTATCATTGGAAACATTATTTTATTCTGCCTCCAAACTTCAAGAGCAGGTTGTTCACGATGTAAAGGTACGTTTTGTTGATTTAGTCAAAAAGTTGAATACGCCGATTATTTTACTTTAAATAGTTTTAGAAGCATGACATCATGAGAGACACCATTAACCTTAACCTCATGTTCTTGGATACTATTATACATAACAAATGCATTTTTTTATACATGGATATCTGTTATTCTGAATATTATTATATTAATTTATCAGCAAACATCTGCAGCATGATTCTCCATATTGGTTGCTCCATTTATGTTAAAGGGGACCTATCATGCAAAATGCACTTTTGTACGTCTTTTATACATGAATATGTGTCCCCGGTGTTCCAGGGAACTCACCAAGTGTCAGAAAACCCAACCCTCTCTATTTTCCTCCATACCCAAATCTCTAAAAAAGGGGCTGCAACGGATCTGATAAAAACTGATCCAGATTTGAACACTGTCCTGACGTCAGGACAGTGACGCTACGGCTATTGGGCCAACTCCACCAATCAGGAGGAGACAGCCACGGCCATTGCCGTTCGAAAGCGCTGGAGACGCTGTAGTACATATGCCAGGCCTGTAGGTGGTGCTGTTCTCACAGAATAAGCCCTTGCAAAAACAGAGCTAAAAAAGTGCAAATTGAGCGAAATGAGGCATGGCTAAGATGCATGATCTGTTTGGTATTTTGAAAAAAAAAAAGTATAAATATGCCTTATATAGGTATGGTCCTACACTATATTATTCAAATATAGCATGATAGGTCCACTTTAAATACACTTAACCCCCATAATGCAATGTAGATAATATGAACTTATGCCATTTGCCGGGGATCTTTATTGAAAACTCAGTTTAAATTCATAATATTAATGTTTTCTTTTCATATTTAGGAAATGAAAACGTCGCTTTGCATTCGAGACATGACAACTCAAGCCAACCTGTGCAGGATATTGTAAGTAATCATACGACATTCTTTCTTTTTTGGTTATTTTGATTAACATAATTCTCATCATCCAGTTAATTACATGGCTTCTTACTAAAGAGGTAAATCCTTTGACATTTAATATTGGTTTAACATCATTCATGTGTTTGGATATCAGGACTGTGTCTATGGCAACAGATTGTTACTCTTAGCAGCAGTCCGCTACAAATAAATAATAGACCATTATAATTCTGTAATCAAACAATCATTATCAACAAAGCTGTCTCTTAATAATGGAGATTGTATTTGCTGCACAGACTGAAGGTGGACATGATCTGAACTATGCTGCGGTGCATTTCTCTGGAAGGAAGGCTACAAGAGGAGGGAAGAAGAGAGAGGTGGAGACTGAAGAAAGTGTGTACTCTCAAGTTAAATGCTGAATGTGAATTTGAGTCTATTACAAATGTAAATTGGTTGATCATACTGACCTCTGACAAAGATTTACATTTGGATTAATGCTAAAAGCCAAAATAGCAGCAAACAGATATTCTCTTTATGTTCGATGTTTCACCAATATTTGATTGCATGTGTTTGTATGTGTCGTCTTTTATCTTAAAATACTAACCAAAGTGTGTTTTTCATTAAAGAAAATGTAAAAAATCATCGGGGGAATGATTTTGTTATTATTTTTTTAGGGCCATCAGACATAACCGTTTCAAGATGTTCTCCTCTGCCCTTTTGTATACATTATGAATGTTCAAATCTGTTTACTTCTTCCATGACCGTCATCTACTTACTGTCTCGGTCAATGCTCTGTAAAAACATCTAACCGCAATTGGGAGTTGTGTTAATTTATTGCTACCTCTTTTAAATGATTTTTTTATAATACTAAGCTGAAGAAACCTAATCAGTCTTTGTCTTTCTTTTGGCATATTTAACCTGACAATAATCCAATGCAGAGCCAATAATGTAATATAATACATTATGGAATATATAACTTATATATTTATATATGTATATTTATATAGTCTTAAAGTTACAACCGGCCCTTTGAGTGCAACCATAATGCTAATGTAGCCCAAGATGAAATTGAGTTTGACACCCCTGACCTAGATTATGTTCATCCATCAGATAGTACACACCCACAAATCGACAACCATGTTAATTTTGGAAAACATTTTCAGTGTCTATATTTGTTTATATTCATTGCATTTATTCATGTAATCCAGCAGTCTGATATATTGTTTACAGCTTAAAATGGTGTTTAATAACATTTGGTGATGGTTGTTTATTTTAGTGTTAATGTAAGTAGAGTTAAAACAGACCGATAAAATGTAATCAGGAACACCGAAGTAAGGGGGGAGACACAAATACTAGAGGGGGGTTAATAATGATTGGGTTATTTGAGCAGTCGAATGATTTGCAACCACAAAGGAAAATGTTGCTACCTAGCTAAGTGTCTCGACTAAAGACATGTTGACACGTTGACATGTTTACCACTGGGTTTATAACCACCATCATCTGATTGGTGGACAATCCTGAGCCACCCTATGTATGGCCTCATGTTAGCGTCTAACTTCTGCTGTTTACCACAAAGATGTTTTTCTGCTATAATCCAAAATCCCATGTAACTACTACAATGCTAACTTCAAGGTTTGGCCGTCAAAGACACATCATCCATGGATCACTCTATTAACAGGCAACTTTTTTGCTACGTCCGGCAGTGGCTCAGTCAGTCGGACTGGGAGCCGTAGGGTCGCCGGTTCAAGTCCCCGACCAGACCTAAATATGGAGTGTGGACTGTTACTTGGAGAGGTCCCAGTCCACCTCCTGGGCCCTGCCATGGTGCCCTTGAGCAAGGCACCGGACATCCCCCTTCCCCCCTCACTCCCATTGCTCCCCGGGCGCTGTACAATAGCTGCCCACTGCTCCTAGTACTAGACTCCTGGTACTAGGATGGGTTAAAAGCAGAGAACACATTTCACTGTGTGTGCTGTGTGCTCTGCATGTGTGATCATTAAAGAGGGTTTCATCCCTCCGGTTCTATTCTATTCTATTCTATTTTGTAGCCTACTCTCCAAATACCTCAGTTCAAGCATTATCATCCAAGTACGCCTTTACAGGTAATGGGAATACGTGTAAGAGTGACATCCGCTGGCTGTTTACTGTAAGTGTTACAAATAATTGCTGAATTATCAGAAAAAAACTGTGAATAGTGAATACACCATTTAAAATGTAAGCCTATCTCGAGTTAACATTGGGACACAAAAAAGGTTCATACTTAGTGTTCATTTTTCAATAACGAGTAGTTTTGCATGGTGAGCCAATGATTTGTTAGCATTTAGTTAGCATAATGTTAGCTAGAAGCCCTTCTAGTTCGTAAGGATCGATACCACTTAAACGTTTGCAATATATCGCCCTTTTCCGCCCTAGCTTCTCTTTACATTTGCATTTATTTATTACTCCACAAACCTTTTACATTTATGATGAGGAATGACGGATGAAAAGAGCTGCTATAGCCACGTATGGTTCTATCGAAGAAAAAAAAAAAAGGCCGCTCCGCCCCAGGATGCTCCAGATTCCCATCTGGACTAAGCTAGCCATTATTGCAACTAGATTTCTTGTGGATAAACAACATTTCAAGTAAACAGAATTATCTGTAAACTTTTCTTACTTGAGTGCGTCATTATGAGATTAGTATTTAATGACTCTTATAACATATTTTACTGGTGATACTTGTGTCTGGTAACTTCACTGGAAACACAGTGTAGCTAATTTTACAGTCTAGGCTTTTGTGAATCCAGTTTCCTTATAACTAAGACTGGTAACTAAGCCTCGTAATTTACTCATTCATACTCACTGTCATTGATTTTGTCGTCCAAAGCTGTCTTAACAGTTTTACTTTTTTTATTAAGTAAAAAAAAAGAGACCTTTATTGGAAGATTTGCTTAAATAACTTGAGAAGAATGAAGTGCTATGCTTCAAAAAGATCAGAATGGGACCACTGACACAGGAAGTGCACTTTTTCAAATCTTTATTCTGTGAAAACCAGATGCAGAGTGACACGCATATGGGCGGCCATGAGACCTTTTGTACACATTGAAAACAAAAAACAAGAGACATTGTCAAGATGTTACTGCTATCGGTAACACTGCTTCTTCTTCATCAAGGATGTAGGTGCAAGTATTAAGTTAAATATTTACATTTAGATATATGAAGGTTCCGATACCTTGTTTTTGCATGATGAATACTCATTTTGTACACTAATTGTTTTTTACTGTTTCACGGTTTGTTTTCTGTCAATTATTTCAGATGCGCTGGCTCCAGTGACTACAGTTCAACTTGGTGAATCTGCGACCTTAACGTGTGCTCTGCCTAATACTGAGATAAGGCGCAGAGAACTCCGCTGGTACAAGCAGTGTGCTGGAGAGACTCTGACATTAATTGTGACACTGCCCGAATCCTCAAAACCTACACTTGCACCAGGGTTTTCTGACTCAAAATTGGAGGTACATATTGGTAACAATTTAAGCACCCTGACCATTCGGAGGACAATCCCAGAAGATGAAGGAATGTATCACTGCTTAATCGAGGATTTGCTTAGGATTCGTGTATGGAGTGGGATATATTTGTTATTAAAAGGTAAACATGTGATCTAATTTTTTACAAGATTTTCAAATGTTGTAGATCTGATTAAAAGCTTCAAAATAGCTTTAAGTATCCGAACCCTGATTTTAACATCTACAAAATGGTTTGAAGAATTTATTTCCAAATATTTGTGATGATTTGGGCTCTTGATAAAAAGAAATCTGATTTCACCATGTCCTGAATCTTAAAATTAAGTTAAAACCACAAATTAACTACATTTTCCGGTTTTTCTTAGGTTTTTTGATGAAGCACTAATCAATGTTCAACAATGTGTTTTTTCTTTGATAAAAAATGTACCACATTTAAGATAGATGTAAACACATTTTAGGCTGTTGAATGTGCTTTTTAACACTTTTTTATTTTTCAGGAAACACTCAGAGGACTTTAGACTATTCTGTTGTTCAGTGGCCGACATTATCTGATCCGGCTCCTCAAGAAAACTCGATGACCCTTCAGTGTTCGGTCCTCTCTAAATCTAAAAATAAAACATGTCCAGGAGACATCAGTGTGTTCTGGTTTGGAGCTGGATCAGATACATTTCGTCCAAACATCATCTACACTGATGGAAGAAGACCAAAGGAATGTGAGAAGTTACCGGACACTCAGAAGAGTTGTGTTTATCGCTCCTCAAAGAACTTCAGCTCATCTGATGCCGGGACTTACTACTGTGCTGTGGCCACATGTGGAGAGATATTATTTGGAGATGTTACACATCCGCAATTAGGTATGGTTATATAATGTTGAATATTAGAGGTGATATTTGAAAAATGTTCATAACATTATGATTGCTTTGTGTTTTTGCTTTGCTTTCCAGAGAAAACTGCAAGTCCTGAAGTTGTTGCGCTGGTGATAGCGATCGTCTGCTTGGTCATTTCTGTGATTGGAAACATTGTTTTCTTCTGTTGCCGAACTTCAAAATGTAAAGGTAAGTGTTGTTGAATTATTTTGAAAATGGTATATACTGATTGTATTACATATTGTGCAAGAGGTGTAACATCATAAAGGACAGGATGAACCTCAACCTCATGCTTTAAGATAACATAATAAATAACAGCAGGAGTTGGGTCTTAACAGAAATATTTTATTTAAGATATTATATAAAATAAATGTATCAGCAAACACTGGCAGCAATGTGTCCAATTTTCTGTTAGGTCAAATGTCTGTCTTATTAAGCTACTAAGAAAAAAATTAATGAATTGAGGTTACGATCCTTATATAAAATGAAGCTTAAACCAATAACATTTGGGTTTTTGTTTTTCATTTTTAGGAATAGAAAACCCCACTGGGCAAGCAAGATATGACAACTCAAGCCAACCAGTGCATGATATGGTAAGTAATGACACAATATTTGTTGTCATCTTTTTTAATAACATGAAATCAAACAGCGCCACTAACAGTAAACATGTAAGGGAGGATGTACATCAGGCTGGTCATTAGTGCGATGTGAGCCCTGACAGGGTGAGCAGGAATCTTAAATCCTCTGGTGGATTCATTTTGTCCAGAATGACCGACTAGCTGTACAATGTCCTTCTAATTACATGTCTACTTACCAAATAAATTAACTAATCTGTTTATAAATTCAAACAAAACTGTGTAAAAGTAAATGTATCATGAGCTTTTTATTTGCTGCACAGATTGAAGGGGGAAATGATCTGAACTATGCTGCCCTTCATTTCTCTGGAAGGAAGGCTACAAGAGGAAGAAAGAGGAGTGATTTGACGACTGAAGAAAGTGTGTACTCATGTTAAATGCTAATTGTGAATGTGTGTCTAAAAAAACCTGTAGGTTGGTTGATCATACTGACCTCTGACAATGACTTATAATGTAAATATGTTAGCTTCCCTTTTGTTTGGAGTGAGGTTTTTCCATGCTAAAATCTGAAATCATATCACACAGATGCTTTTTATATTCCTTGTTTGTCCATTATTTGATCTGCTCATTCTGTGTTTGAATGTGTTGTCATTTTATCTTATCTTATCTTAGTTTTGTCTTTTTATAAGATACTTTACTTTGTGTTTAATATTACCTATCACACGTAAAAACTGGACTCATTGTGCACTCACTATTCCTGTATTGTAGCCTGTTCTGAATATACTGTCTTTGCATATTAACCCAACACAAAGCCTAAACAGTCTTGTGTTTAGATAAAAACTCAAATGTGTTTCAAAGTTCAAGCCAAACATTAATTAAAACAACAACAATTAAACAAGAATTGTACTGGTGACTTTATAACAAAACATGTCACGACATTTTCTGAATAAAAATAACAAAGATGGATTTTCTGGCAGAAGTCTTCAATAATGAATCAGTCAATTATTCAGTGTTTATTCAAGATGAATCTAACATGAAACACAATTGACCTTATTTTGTCGTATAGTTCACTGATGATCTGTCATGCCAGAGTATAGACAGTCCTGCTGTAACTCACTGTTTTTCCATCTTTTGGCTTTTCTTGAGGGGAAATCCAGCGCTACATAGTTCAGTGCTGCTCCACCGCCCTGCAAAAGAAAATAAATAGGATTGTGAGCTTTAAAGGTCCCCTATTATACTGTTTTTCATCAATATATTATAGTTCCCAGTTATATACAAAACATGTCTCTGAAGTGTTTGGCTCCAAATACCAAACAGATCATTGTAGCATCCCATAATCCCCTCTGTTTCAGCCCTGTTTCAAAAGTGCTGATTCTCTGTCTGTTACTTTAGATCAGGGGTGTCAAACTCAATTGAATCGCGGGCCACATCAGCATTATGGCTGCACTCAAAGGGCCAGTTGTAACTTATATATAAATATATATATAAAATAATGTATCATATTACATTATTGCCTCTGCATTGGATTAATGTATCTGATAGGGTAATAACTTCATAATTAACTATGTCTGAAAGCAGAAGTCTGGGGCAAATAATTGCAAGTATCTTCAGTGAGAATGTCCCAAAATGATTTAAAAAGAAAAGCTGGAAAAGAAGTCAAAATCGGAAGTGACATTTAAAAAAAAAAAAAAGGAAGTGACATTTAAAAAAAAGAGTCAAATTCTGAGAAAAGGGCACATTCTAAGAAAAAAGGCATATTTAGAAGAAAAAAAGTCAAATTCTGAGAAAAAAAAGTCTAATTTGAGATGCATTGTGGGACATGTAGTTTATGGGCAACGTGCTTCTGTAAATCATCATGTAACCGTATAATAAACATATTATATTCTTTGCAAGGTCTTGTGGGGCCACAGTAAATGAAGTCACGGGCCGGATTTGGCCCCCGGGCCTTGAGTTTGACACCCCTGCTTTAGATGAAAAATAAGGAGCCACTCCCAACGCCCCTCAGAGATATTTGGTTAAAATGAACACAATGGTGCTCTAGGAGGAGATTCAGGTGATAAGGTGGGGGGGGGGGGGTTACCTTGGTTAGTTATTGGCTAATGGTCACACAAGCCAAAACATTGTTATGACATAATAAAGTGGCAAAAATCTGATCAGCTCATTTTCAGACAGGTTTTTATATAAATGGATCAGGACAAAAAGTGAGCGAATCTTTTTTCCTGAAACTTTCAGAATCTCTTTACACAGAGGACACATGTTTATGGATTTTGCATAATAGGTGACCTTTTAGAGCATTTAAACCACAACCAAGTGAATATCAAATTAAACATCAAAATTATATGTCAAATGTGCAGTTAAGCACCCAAAGATTTCTGGGTCTTTTTCTAACCCAATTGTAACAGCAGTTACTGCCGTCATGCATAAGATGATATATAAATGATCTTTACCACATTAATTGATTCATCCTCAGCCAATCTTTCATCAAGAGCATGGTTGGAAGATTCTCCTGTAAAAAAGAAAAAAATGAAAGGCAAACAATTAAGCTATTGTTGTCATTTCACATCAAAGTTTGTGATCCAGGAATAATTACTTTACTGCTGGCACAACCCCACATTTGAATCTTTACCGGCATTTCATTTACATTAGTGCACGTAGAAGAGCTGAAAGCTGAAGCTATTAATGTACCAATACAGACGTTATGATAACCATTATCAAACCATTACAATTACTGCAAAACCTAGGTAAAAATATGCTGAACTGCTGAATCCTAACTTGGTTAATGTTTCAAAGACTTTACACAAACTCCATGAATCTACCTTTGCAATGTTCACAAACTGACTTTTGATTTCTGAAGATTATAAGAACAGCAATCACAATCAAACAGCAGGCCAGCAGCGTCCCGAGCACAGGGACAAATAGGTCCAGTTGTTGTCCTGTAATGAGAAAAACAATTACAGAGAAAATTAACTATTAGCTCTAATGTAATTTAATTGCTTTTACATTAGTAAATAATTATAATTAATTATAGTTGTATAATCACTAAAAGCTCTGAATTTTGAGTGATGATCCACTACTGTACATAATTTGTGTGTCAGTAGGAGGGCTTGTTGGCCTTCCATAACAGTAAAAACTGAAAGGAAAACAAACTAATTGTTTCACAGCAGCAGTGACTTGTACTTTAAAAATGCTTTTTGTAGTATTGCTCTAATGTGCAATTTTAGAGCTATATGTTATAAGCTGCACTAGTACATGGACAGCAAAAAAAGCCTTGATGGACAAAAGAGTACCGCAGGAAATGTAGGAAACACACACACTGAAAAAACAGATAGGGAAAGTGTAGCGGAGGCAGCTAACACTAAAGCCTATTAAGGAAGCAAGAGAATAATCAACATAGATGCATTGTGAATTAAATAAGATGTAACGTACTTGTCTCTACTGTAGTTCCTTCTCCAAACAGGATCTGTCCACATGTAGCCACAGCACAGTAATACGTCCCGGTATCAGAGGAGTTGTGTATAGTTTTGAACAGACTGAAGACACAACTGCTTTCCTTTTGTTCCTCACTGTGAGTGTAAATTATGCTTGGATGGGATTCTCCTGATCCAGACCTGAACCAGTACACATTGTGTTCGCCTGGACACTGATCTGCCTTTTCTTTGTGTTTGGAGAGGAGTGAACACTGGAGAGTCACTGAGTCGCCGGGCTGGACTGACTTGGTCTTCAGACTTTGTTTCACGTAGATAGATTTCTTCAGGTTTTTATGATCTGTGTGATGGACAAAAAGGCAGGATTTAACTAATGGATAGTAGTCAAAGTCAAAAGTCAACTTTAATGTCAATCTTACTCAGTTTGTGTTTACAGACAGAGATCGAAATGACGTTTCCAACAATCCTGAATATGAAATGTTACAATATACAGATATGTATAAAATATGTATATCCTATATACACAATCAACAGACACATTTACACATTATGCACAGATTAAGATAATAAACACAACAATCAATATATATTAAATAATATATACTAAATAACAGTCACTTCAATATCAATATATTTGGTGCAAGATTGTCCATAGAATGTGCATTTATTGCAGATTGTCCATAGCAGCGCAAAAAAAAAGGGTCTTGTGCTGGATTTGAGTGTCTGAGTGTGTGTGGGGAGTTATAGTCCAGTGGGGGAAGGGGAGAGAGGAGGAGGGAGGGAGGGGAGAGAGAAATTGACAAAGCAGCAAACAATAAATGAACATACTTTACCATTAACAACCAAAAGTGTGCTATTAACCAATTCCATGGTGTATGCTGTTCCTGCTTGACAGAAGTACGTTGCTTCATCTTCTTTAGTTACATTTCTGATGTTCAGAACAAACTGACCATTCAGTTTTTTAACAGCTAGTCTTGAGTTTTTAAATTCTCCTTGAAGTGTTATGTTCGCCAAAGTTCCTGCTGCAACTGTTTCGACCATATATCCAAACTTCAGCTTATACCAGTAAAATAACCCGGCTACATTTTCAACAGTTGAACATGCCAAACCCAAATCATCGCCAAGTTCCACCACAGTCAAAGAGATCTGGTGAGAATCCTCTGCAGTTTGAATCAGGGCTGAAGAAAAGAGATAAATACAGTCTCAAAAACTGTTACAAGCTCAACAGAAGACAGTTAGATACAATAATTCCTAACATGTTTTGTGTTATATTTATACAAAACTATATATTACAGTTGTATTCATCTTAAAGTAGAAAAGGGAAGTTGCACTCACACAATGCACTTAGAAAAATCAAAGCAGCCAGTCCTCCAATCATTGTGACACAGAGCCCTGCTCGTGCACCACTGATGTCTTCACACTCAAATGGAAGATTTTATGTCATGGTTTTCAAGGCTTACAAAGTGGAAATCAAACCGATTGGCTGAGACATAATGTACTTCCTGTAACATTTTGCAAACCTATGACCCATTTTTGGTAAATAAAGTAACGAATGCTTTTTTCACTGTATCAAAGCAAATGCAGCTAAGGTGTACATTTAAAGTCGACGAAAGGTTATTTATAGTGTATAATAAATAATAATTTGGGAACATCTGCACATTCTTCAAATGTTAAAGTTTAGCTTTGAGTGTTTTTGAGTGCATGTTTGATAATAAGAGAAACACTATGCTCTTCCTCCAAATGCCACTAAATCATTGGGAAATGCAGGATCATGGAAGAACTAAAGGCTATAGTAGTGCATTTATTCAAGTACTGTACTTATTTTTGAGGTCATTAAATTATGTTGTACCTTTACTCCAATACATTTATCCGACTACATGACAAAAAAATGCTGGTGCACTGATTTATATTTAACTATCAATAATTTTATGAAGCAGTTCAAATGAAATCCTTCTCAGTGACCCATGATAATTGTTCATGTTATTTAGTGGGAATGCTGATACAGCATTCCAATTATATGTTGTTCCACGGACAAAAAGTTTATTATTCCGCCGACTTATTTTGGAGCTCTTCTCCTCCCACATTCAACATCGCAGAAACTCCGTTCAAACATCAAAACGTTCAGCTCGGTCGGGAATCGCAGGCTATTACTTTTATCATTCATAATTTTCATAATTCCAGAGATACATCCCATAATTCATCACATTTTTAACATTTGAACTTTAACATTGCGCAGCTCATTAAGGCAGAGTGTGTGATGTCACAGCTAGAGGGTAGGAAATCTTGAAATTTGCCTTCATATATTTTTTTAAAACTGCCATAATTCCCAAACCCTACCTTCCTGAGATATAATTTGTCATGACAAACGTAGGAAAACATCTCGTAGCTTGAAAAATGACAAATAATTAAGCAAAATAATTAAACAAAATGCCTCTTGAGGGCATGAAGTGACAAAAACGCCCATTGTAATTTCAGGCAGATATTTCCTCACAGCAGCAGCCGCACACCTTTAGTTAAACTGCCAAAAAGGACACATTATTAACCCGAAAGTACAAAATTACACTTCAGATACTCAACTTCCTTGACATGCTTCTCGTTTTGAAATTTCACAGATATCTGTTATCGTTCTTCCACAAAACGTTCACATGTAAGAGGTTCATCTCTCATTCAGAACAATGGAAACCTTTGATCTCTGCACACCTCGTTAGTTCAAATATAAACACCTGTGTCATGGAACACGATGATGTCATAACACACAGGTGTTCGTGTTTGAGCTAACGACGTGGTCACTGGAGTTTAACAGACTGTCTGAGCCTATTCTTTTCTGTCTGATGGAGACTTCATACTGACTTCAACATGTTCCACCTATTTTATACATTATTGGTGACACACAGCTGTCGTCGTTAGCTCAAATATAAACACCTGTGTCATGGAACACGATGATGTCACATTGACAGGTTTGGTAACGATGCAGCCATCAACGCATCTAAGCGTATTATGGGGTGTCATCAAATGTCGTTGCCATGGCGACAGACCACTCGCCATGAAGCACGATGTCGCTGTAAGTCCAATGGACACGGTCCGATCATCCCCCAAACTTCGCTTGTATATCACCGGTCCAGCCCTCAACAGCTCTACGTCAATTATGGGGTTTCTTCAAATGCCGTTGCCATGGCAACACAATGCTCGCCATGAAACACGGTTTTCTCATAACTTCAGTGAAAATGCTCCAAACGGCCCAAAACTTCACAGGTTTGGTAACGATGCAGCCATCAACGCATCTAAGCGTATTATGGGGTGTCATCAAATGCCGTTGCCATTGCGACAGACCACTCGCCATGAAGCATGATGTCGCTGTAAGTCCAATGGACACGGTCCGATCATCCCCCAAACTTTGCTTGTATATCACCGGTCCAGCCCTCAACAGCTCTACGTCAATTATGGGGTTTCTTCAAATGCCGTTGCCATGGCAACACAATGCTCGCCATGAAACACGGTTTTCTCATAACTTCAGTGAAAATGCTCCAAACGGCCCAAAACTTCACAGGTTTGGTAACGATGCAGCCATCAACGCATCTAAGCGTATTATGGGGTGTCATCAAATGCCGTTGCCATGGTGACAGACCACTCGCCATGAAACACAATGTCGCTGTAAGTCCAATGGACACAGTCCAATCGTCCCCCAATCTTCACTTGTATATCACCGGTCCATGCCTCAACAGCTCTACGCCATATCTGAGATCTCACCATATGCCGTTTCCATGGAAACGCATCCCTCGCCATAAAAGACGATGTCGCTATAACTCCTATGAAAATGTTCAAAAACTGCTCAAACTTCACATGTGTGCTAACAGTCCAGCCGTGAAGACATCTACGGGACATGCCGTTGCCATGGCAACACAATGCACGCCATGAAACACGGTTTTCTCATAACTTCAGTGAAAATGCTCCAAATGGCCCAAAACTTCACAGGTTTGGTAACGATGCAGCCATCAACGCATCTGAGCATATTATGGGGTGTCATCAAATGCCGTTGCCATGGCGACAGACCACTCGCCATGAAACACGATGTCGCTGTAAGTCCAATGGACATGGTCCAATCGTCCCCCAATCTTCACTTATATATCACCGGTCCATGCCTCAACAGCTCTACGCCAAATCTGAAATCTCACCATATGCCGTTTCCATGGAAACGCATCCCTCGCCATAAAACACGATGTCCCTTTAACTCCTATGAAAATGTTCAAAAAGTGCTCAAAATGCACATGTGTGCTAACAGTCCAGCCGTGAAGACATCTCCGAGACAGTTTTGAGATTTCTTCAAATGCCGTTGCCATGGTAACACAATGCTCGCCATGAAACACGGTTTTCTCATAACTTCAGTGAAAATGCTCCAAACGGCCCAAAACTTCACAGGTTTGGTAACGATGCAGCCATCAACGCACCTAACCGTATTATGGGGTGTCATCAAATGCCGTTGCCATGGCGACACCACTCGCCATGAAGCACGATGTTGCTGTAAGTCCAATGGACACGGTCCGATCATCCTCCAAACTTCGCTTGTATATCACCGGTACAGCTCTACGTCAATGATGGGGTTTCTTCAAATGCCATTGCCATGGTAACACAAGGCTCGCCATGAAACACGGTTTTCTCATAACTTCAGTGAAAATGCTCCAAACGGCCCAAAACTTCACAGGTTTGGTAACGATGCAGCCATCCACACATCTAAGCGTATTATGGGATGTCATCAAATGCCGTTGGCATGGCGACAGATTATTCACCATCAAGTTAGTTCAAAAGTTTGCAGTTCAAATATTCTGCTGCTTTTCCAAGCCTTTTTACTTTCTTTTCAGTGTTCATGTATCATTTCAATCTAAATTCTTCACTTTCTTCTTACACATTACATTTCAGCATAGCAGTTTAGCGTCAGCTTTTCAGCATAAAGCATTCCCACTAGCAATTTCTTCAGGAATTGCATTCTCTAGTTTATCTATAATATTGTTCCAATAGGTATAACACAACCTTTTACTTTTGCAACTACATGTAAATTATACTTTTTAATGCAGGACTATTACTTGTAACGGAGTATTTATTTTAATTTGATTTGTAGTGATCATTTAATGATAATGCATCTTTCACTCCTTTTAAAAGCAAACTAGTGTGAATTCGCCAATGATGTGATACTAAATCTCTCACACTGCTTATATGTAGAAGAAGAAGGAGTCTTATTTTCTCACCCACCATCTTCCAGTAAAGGTGACGGCGCTCATATAAGTCAAACGACATTCAAGCCTTAGTTCAAGGAAAATTGAGCAACCTTGAACTTCCGCCACCCTTCTTTGAACTTCGCAGAAATCTGAAACACTGATCTCTAAAGCCAACACAATTAAAAAACACCTTATTAGTTAGATTTCCAAAAAGTCTGTGCAACAGTCCTAGTTTTGTCTAAGATTATTTACTTTATTTACTGTACCTTTCATCAATCAGAAGCCACAAGCAACTTTTTGAGAGGTGAGAAAGGTCAGGGGTAGGGGAGAAAAAATAGGCAACAAATGCAGAGATTTTCTTAAAAGAGGCTTTCAGCTGCAGACATGAGCATTATGCAACTTACCGTAGCAGTGTTGATTCATACTGCCACGGAAAAGTGTGCAATACATGTCAAATCCTTAATTGCCTCATCTACAGCTGTCATTTTTCATAGTCTACAGATCATGTAAAAAGTGTCCTCAAAATCTCAATGTCCAGTTAACAACTGTAGCAGTGGCAGGATTCATTTTTGTAACATTTGTCAAAATGATCTGAAATAAAAGTGTTTATTCAGAAGGGCAACAGGCAGGTATTTTCTAGCTTGGATAGACTCTGGGGATGGCATTATTATTATTAACTTTTTGACAGATTGTTATGACATTTTGGACAGACATTGATGGTCCCAGCAGGATGAACCCTTCCAACTTTGGTCATCTTTGGATTTTTCCTCTACCTGCATGTCCAAGTTTTCACCTAAAGGAAATATCTCAACATTTACTGGATACATTGCAGAGGAAACTTTGTATGGACATTCAAGGTTCCCAGAGTCAAATCATTTCATTTTGTGTCTTTGCTAACACATTTTTTTCAAAAGCTTGAATTCCAAACCAAGATGGGTAAAATGATACCTCCCAAACATCAGCATGTTATCATGGCCACTGTGAGTATAATAGCCTTTAGCTCAAACCACCACTGTAACCACTAGGCTGTACATTCTTTGTCTTTCTATTAACTACATAATCCGTCACTTCTCTAGAAGGATATCATTTGACATAACACACAAGGACCTCCATGCAGGCCTGCTTTTGCCAACCTTAAAGCTTCAATGACAAAAACATAACCCCTCACTGTCTTCCCACCCACAAAAATGTCTTAATGTCATGCACTACC